AGATCACGAGAGAGGTCACATCGTGTCACAAGAATCTGAAAGAATTGAACCAGATTCTGGTTGCTGAACAGGCTCTAAGGGATGCTAACTTGGTTGAGTTGAGAAGTGGGATGTTAGTAAAAACAGACTTAAAGTGGTGAACATAACAGAGAGAAGTGGGGTGTTGGTAAAAACAACCTTAGAGTGGTGTGAACATGACAGAGAGAAGTGGGATGTTGGTGAAAACAGACTTAGAGTGGTGAAAATGGCAGATAGAAGTGGGGCATTGGTGAGAACAAACTTAGATGAGTTTTGAGGGAAAAAAAAAGCAATGTACAAAATGATGAGAAAACTGCACCAGAAAAAACAAGTTTTTTTCTTGAAACTGGGACCCCTGTGACACTGGTCAGATATGTTTGAGCCATGTGACAAGGCTAAAAGATTTTTCAACAGTGTGACATGCTTAGAATATATCTGATTGATGTCACACCACTGAAACATTTCTTGCCACGCTGGCACACTTCAAACATTTCTGGCCAGTTAGACTTGGCTCAAACATTTCTTACCAGTCTGACACACTTCAAACATTTCTTACCAGTCTGAACCCCTTCAAATATTTCTGACCACTTTCACTTGACTAGGATATTTTTGAACACAATTTATCTACCCAAACATTTCTGGTCACAATATTACAGGTCAAATATTTTCTACCCAATCCAATATTATATTTTCTCCCAAAGGCAAAAAAATAAACGGCCACACAACCTATTAGCCTGGATACATTCTTACATTTTACAAGGCTAATAGCTTGTTCAAGGTGGGTGACTGAAGTGCAGTGCCTATACTTCTGGGAGAAGACTACCAGCTAACCTATGAACTCAGAGTCACCAGGAACATTGAGACAGGGACCAAGTTACGCTTTGCAGACACAGACCACAAAATCTCTGCAGTGCACATCAGTCGTACCCCAGACTTCGACAGGCTGAGACAAAGCACCTTGCTGGTCGGCAAGTTTGCCAAGGCCAAAGTCCATTGTCATGAGAAAGCCAGAAGGCACCACCGCAAACTCAAATTTGGCATAGAAGAGAAGACGGTTTGGGCAGCAGAAGACTGTATCCTGAAGCCACACGTGTGTTGTCATGTTTGAGTCGAGGGACAATTCGACAACAGCAAAGACTGGCTGGTACAGAAGAGTCTGTTAGCAAACACAAATGACTCTTATTTTGCCGTACCTAACACTCTGATCTCAGCACACAATCCCTGGGTTCCAATTGCCAATCCCACCAATCAACCAAGATACATCTGTAGGGGAGAGGTGATTGGTACGATACACGATCCAGAAGACTTTTTTGAGACCCCGAGTTCAGCTGAACACACAGAAGCTCTGTACAAACACGCTGCAGCCATTAAAGTGGTCATCGCAACCCAAATGGAGTCGGAAAGCGGAACGAACCACGCCATGCCAGACATAGTCAATCAGCAGGTTCCTGAGGAGGAAGAGGAGTACGGACTGAAAACAGCAGCTATGCCTGACCTCACGGACTTCCCATCTGCAAAAATGGAAGAATTGATTGACATAGGAACATTACCAGATCACTTGAAGGATCTGGCATGGAATATGTTGAGGAACCGTCAACAGGTGTTCGGCTTCAACAGGAGATTAGGACATTTACCCACTAAAGTGCACATCAGAACAGCTGACGGCCAGGTCCCAATAGCCAGGCTAATGTAAGGTAGTTCACCTGAGAAAAGATGCATGATGGACAAACAAATGGATAAATGGTTTGAGCAGGACGTGATTGAACCTTCTATCAGTCTGTGGAGTGTGCCGGTAGTCATCACATATCGCAATGGTAAACTGAGATTCTGCGTCGACTACAGGAAGCTGAATGCAGTTACAATTCCCGACAAATTCCTGATCCCATGTCAATCAGAGATCCTTTCTTCATTGTTGGGTGCTCAGGTCTTATCTTCGTTAGATGCTCTGTCAGGTTTCACTCAGTTGGAGCTACATGAAGAGGATGTGGAGAAGACCGCTTTCTGAACACACAGGGCTATTTCAGTTCAAAAGAATGCCATTTGGTTTGAGAAACGGTCCATCCATCTTCCAGAGGGTCATGCAAGGGATCTTGGCACCCTACTTATGGTTTTCTGCCTCGTTTACATTGACGACATAGTAATATTCTCCAAATCCTATGAAGAACATATCATTCACCTGGACAAGGTTCTGGAAGCCATCGAGAAAGCGGGAATTACCCTCTCACCGAATAAATGCCACTTGTTCTATGGGTCCATCCTCCTCTTGGTTCATAAAGTGTCGAGACTGGGGCTTTCAACCCATGAGGAGAAGGTCAAAGCCATATTAAAGTTGGAGCGACCTAGAAAGTTGTCTCAGCTACAGACATTCCTCGGTATGGTCGTTTATTTCTCTACCTTCATCCCTTATTACGCTTCCATCTGTGCCCCATTATTCCAATTAATGTGGAAGGGCAATAAATGGAAGTGAGGGGTGGAGGAGGAATACACCTTCCAAGCAGCTAAGGAAGCTTTGCGATCCAGCCTAGTATTGGGGCATCCAATCGAAGGCCGGCCATACCATCTCTACACAGACGTATCAGACGAAGCAGCTGGATGTGCTCTACAACAAATACAACCGATTCAAATCAAGGATCTCAAAGGTACCAGGGCTTACAGCTGTTTACAGAAGGCCTATGATGAAGGATTGCCACCACCTAAGCTCACCACGACTTTGAGTGCCAAAACGGCTGACAGCCCTGCGGACGACAAGTGGGGTCCCGACTTCGATCCTACGGTGGTTCACATGGAGCGAGTGATTGGCTACTGGTCCAGAACCTTCAAGGGCACAGAGACTCGATACTTGACGACTGAGAGAGAGGCTTTAGCAGCCAAGGAGGGGCTGGTTAAATTTCAACCCTACATAGAAGGAGAAAAGGTCTTACTTGTCACAGATCATTCAGCTCTGCAATGGGTGCACACATATGAAAACTCCAATCGTCGTTTAGCCGCTTGGGGGGCAGTTTTCTCTGCTTATGCCCCTGGATTAGAAATCATACACAGAGCAGGGAGGGTACACTCCAACGTGGATCCACTGTCACACTTACCTCAAGCAGCACCTGACCACGTCTCCCCTGAAGCTGATCCAGGACCGAGCATAGTAACAGAATTCTCTCTGGCTGAAGAGCAAGAGCGCATGCTCAACCGACCTTTTAGTAGGGAAATTTTTGTGGCCTGGAGCATAACAAAGTGTCTGGAAGGCCCAACATCATCCTGTTTTATGGAGATGCAACAGAACATCATGGACCTCGAAGGGGAGAGCACTGTAGACAAAGACCGTCTGCTTCAAGAAAATGACAACTTGGATACTCTACTGGTCACCAAAGAATACTGGGAGGCCTCTAACTCTGAACCTAACCTTCACATAGAAATGGATGTGAATTTCATCAAAGAATGGGTTGAAGAATACCAAACGGACCAGTCCTTTTGTTCAATTTGGAATGATGAGAAAAGAGAAGTTGAGAACTGGAAACACAATGGTCAGTTTTTGAAAGACCAAAGGGGACTGCTGTTCTTCTTGGACAAAGACTACCAACCTAGGCTGTGCATTCCCAGGGTGAAGCGAAACCTAATTCTCAGAGAAGTGCACGAAAACCCTCTGGAGTCAGCACATGCAGGACCAGAACGCCTATGGCAGATGCTAAGTCAGAGATTCTATTGGAAGAGAATGAAAGCGGACATACTAGAGTACTGCAAGTCGTGTGATCCATGCCAGAAAACCAAGTTTGGCAATTTCAACAAGTACGGTTTCCTAATTCCCAACCCTATACCGTCATGCCCGTACCAATCGATCTTGATGGACTTCATCATGTATCTGCCTTGGTCTAATGATTTCAACGCTATCTTCATCATAGTGGATAGACTCACCAAACAGGGAACTTTCATTCCATGTACTACAGGCCTCACCGCTGAGGAGTTCGCGGAATTGTTTGTCAAACATATCATGTGTAGATTTGGAATCCCTGATAGTATCGTCACAGACTGCGACCCCTGATGGACATCGGATTTCTGGAAGGAGTAGCTCATTCCTCAGAACAAAAATGGCCCTGTCATCAGCACATCATCCTCAGCACAATGGTCAAATGGAAATACTCAATCATCACCTAATGACCATGCTGAGAGCTTATGTATCAGACGATCTTGCAGACTGGTCCACTTGGTTGCACATCCTAGAGTTTGCATACAACAATTCCATTCACGGATCGACGGGTGCTTCTCCCAACTTTCTAGCATATGGTTTCCAACCTAAATCACCCCTAGGTTTCCTGTTATCAAAGGATAATCTGAGAGTTAAAGCTGCTACTTACTCACTGGGCCCAGAAGTTCAGAATTTCTTGGACACTCTAGGCATGCACAGGGATAGCACGAGATGAGCTATAGCAAAGGTGCAGGATGAGCAAGCAATGCAATATAACAAAGGCCGCAAACCCATACCAGACTTCAAGAAAGGAGGAGGTCTTTACCATCCCCCATGAGTTCCAGCAGATTCCAAGTGGAATGTCGGAATTCCATGGAATTCCGATGGAAACCAGTTGGCTGGAGCCTCAGCCATTCTGGTTTCCAATTCCATGGAAATTCCAATGGAATCCGACAGAATCCAGGAGCCTCCCAGAACAGTTTCAATTGGAATTCCAATGGAAAGTACATTTAATATATTCCACTCAAATTCCAACAGATTCCAACAGATTCCAATGAATTCCAATATTTGTTGTTGTTATTATAGTATATAAAAAAATAAGTGGATGCATAAGGATTGAACTCTAGCCTCGGGAGATGTCACATGAATTCTCAGCAGCAATATTTCCACTACACCATATGGCTGTTAAAATTCTAGCAATTTTTATTCTATATAACCCATCCTCATGCCCACCTTCCTAAACGAGTCACAGCGTTCACTGGCGTCACCATCAGCCTCTGTGTTTTGCTGTCAACCACAACCACAACCACAACCACTGTCACTGCGATCAGCGCGGTCACCTCCAATCACGCCCACGCCAACGGACAATGACGACACAATGGACGATGACACGTCAGCGACGACAAGGATGGCCACATGTCAATGGACGACGACGGATGACGAGGATGACGACACATCAATGGACACGTCAACGGACAACGACAACAGATGACATGTCAGTGACAACGAGGACAGTGACACATCAATGGACAACAACATGTCAATGGACAACAACACGTCAATGGACAACAACACGTCAATGGACAACAACAACAACAACGGACGACATGTCAGTGATGACAACAACGGCCACATGCCAACGGACGATGAGGATGACGACACATCAATGGACGACGATGATGACGGACGATGACGACAACACATCGCATCAACAGACGACGACAATGGACGACACGTCAGCGACAACAAGGATGGCGACATGTCGACGGATGACGAGGACAATGGTGACATGTCAACGGACAACGAGGACAACGACAACCACATCAACCAACGACGTCGACGAGCGCCCATGACGTCGACGAGCCCCCTCCCTTTTCCCTCCCCCTCCCTTTTCTCTTCCCCTTCCTATTCCCTCCCCCTTCCTTTTCCCTCCCCCTTCCTTTGTCCTCCCCC